TGACTCATACCAAGCAATATAGGTTGCCCAGAGGCTACAAAGAAATTACAGGCACAATATCAGAAACGGAGAAAGTGGGCATTGTGCGTACTGCCCACAGCCCCTACAATTCGCCAGTGTGGCCGGTGAAGAAGCCCGGTGGCTCTTGGCGCATGACAGTAGATTATCGTGAGCTGAATAAGGTAGTTCCCCCTTGCATGCTGCAGTGCCTTCAGTGGCAGATTTGATGGATCGTCTGAGCCACGAGCTGGGAATGTACCATTTTGTAGCCGATCTGGAAAATGCTTTTTTTTTCAATAGATATAGCCCCAGGAAGTCAAGACCAATTCGCCTTCACCTGGGAAGGCCGGCAGTGGACATTCACTGTGCTGCCACAGGGTTACCTGCACAGCCCTACTCTGTGTCACGGGCTGGTGGCAGCAGATTTGGCCCGGTGGGAAAGGCCATCTTCAGTGTGTTTATACCATTATATTGATGATATTTTATTGACAAGTGACTCTCGTACAGATCTGGAAAAGGCAGTACCTTTCTTATTAACACACCTGAAAACATGCAGCTGGGCGATCAACGAAAGCAAACTGCAGGGGCCTGGACTGTCAGTTAAGTTCCTGGGAGTTGTCTGGTCGGGTAAGACAAAGGTTATCCCTGAAGCTGTGATAGGTAAAGTTCAAGTTTACCCCACTCCAACCACAGTGAAGCAGCTGCAAGTCTTTCTGGGTCTGCTGGGTTACTGGAGGGCATTTATACCTCACATGGCCCAGCTCCTACGACCCTTGTATATGTTAATACGTAAGGGAGCCAGGTGGGATTGGTCAGTTAAGGTAGATACAGCATTTGCCACGGCCAAACGAACTATAAAGACTGCTCAGGCCTTGCAGGTTTTTGACCCAGCCCGACCCTGTGAGCTTGATGTGCATGTTACTCAGGAAGGGTTCGGGTGGGGACTCTGGCAGAAATCAGAGAGGCTACGACAGCCTATTGGGTTCTGGTCCCAACTCTGGAAGGGGGCTGAGGTTAGGTATTCTTTAATTGAGAAACAGTTAGCTGTGGTATATGCAGCCTTACTAGCCACAGAAAGTATAACTGCCACAGCCCCTGTCTCACTGAGAACCACTTACCCAATAGCTGGATGGGTACGGGACTGGACAACAAAGCCCCATAGTGGCACTGCTCAAATGCCCACTTTGGCGAAGTGGGGAGCATACTTAGAACAGCGCTGCACCCTGTCAACTAGCCCCTTAAGGGTGGAGTTGCAGGAGGTTCTTGGTCCTGTGACATATGATAGTATGGAACCAACTTCAGAAGCCTGTATAGAAGCCGAACCTGAAGCTAGTCCCTACAAGGAGGGTCGAGCACCAATTCCAGCAGAGGTCTGGTATACGGACGGCTCCAGCCGGGGCCAGCCAGCCTCTTGGACAGCGGTGGCTGTACACCCAGAAACAGACACTATTTGGTTTGAAACCGGGACGGGACAGAGCAGCCAATGGGCTGAACTGCGAGCAGTATGGATGGTGGTAGCCCATGAGCCTTCCCCTCTAGTAATCTGTACTGACAGTTGGGCTGTGTACAGGGGTCTGACACTGTGGATTTCCACGTGGAAGCTAAATGACTGGACAGTTATGCATTGGCCATTGTGGGGCCAGGCCCTATGGAAAGATCTATGGGATCTGGGGCATCAGAAGCAGGTGACTGTTTATCATGTCACAGGACATGCCCCATTGGCTTCACCAGGCAACGATGAGGCAGATACCCTAGCCTGGGTTCGATGGCTTGAAACTGCTCCAGGGCGGGATGTTGCGCAGTGACTAAACAGACGCTTGCTCCACGCAGGGCAGAAGACAATGTGGGCCACTGTGCGTGCCTGGGGTCTACCTGTAACTTTAAAATAAATCCAGACTGCATGTGAAACATGTGTAGTATGTTCTAGGACTTACCCCCGGAGACCTTTTGCATCTACAGGCCAGGTGTTGCGGGGGCAGGTACCCCTGACACGCTGGCAGATTGACATCATTGGACCACTACCTCGCTCCGATGGACAACAATATGCAGTCACCTGTGTGGACACTGCTACCGGGTTATTGGCAGCTTACCCTGCTCCACATGTGGACCAAAAGGCAGTGTTGGCAGCACTGGCACGCCTATGTGCTGCATATGGACGTCCGCTGGTAGTGGAGAGCGATCAAGGGACTCATTTTACAGGAGCCCGGGTGCAGCAGTGGGCCAAGAACATGGGTGTTGAATGGAAGTTTCACACTCCTTATAATCCCAAAGCTGCAGGGATTATAGAGAGGTATAATGGCCTGCTGAAGCAAGGACTAAGAGCCACTGCCCCCACTCAGACGCTGGCCGGGTGGAGCCGACGTCTATGGGAGGTGTTGCAGACATTGAATGAGAGGAGCAGGAGAGGCGGCCTGGCTCCAGTGGAGGCATTGCTACATCGTGCTGCTGCTCCCATCCAATTACAAATAAAGACGTCAGACGTCTTATTAAAACCGGGACTTGGACAGCAGGGCAACATCCTATTGCCAGCCCCAAGTGGAGTGGACCCAGGGCAGACTGTGGACTGGGAATGGCCCTGGACAGTGAAGGCTCCCCACATGCTGTGGGTGGCTCTGTTAGCACCTTGGGGTTGTGGCCTGGAGGCCGATTTACAGATAAAACCATGGGTGACTGCGCAGTGGCCGCCACGGGTGCGTGTTACCCACCCTGGAGTGGCAGATCAGCGGGCAATCCTCAAGGGGACATTTGTAATAACTCTGTGGCCCATTATGAGCTCTCCACTCCTGCTGCATGTAGAACCCACTGATGCCTCTTCACTGGCAAAGTGAGTGTGGTACTCACGACCTGGAAGGCCACTGATGCCAGCGACAATATTGTCCTCAGATGCCAAATTAGCATGTATATTGCCCGATGGGAGGGATCTCCCATTGCTGGTACCGGTAACTTCTCTGTCTTTCCGCCCCTAGGAAAATTAAGTTTAGTCATTTTGTGATGTATTTGCTTTTGTGGCCCATGGCTGCGCTGTTTATGTTTGCTTAAAAAAAATTGTACATACGTGGACTATATGGCAGAAAACCCTGAGGGGGTGGACTGTAGGGTAAGGTACAAGGTATCAGGCTTTTCTGCCCTTCCGCCATCAGGATGGATGAGGGAGCCCTGTGATCCTGGGTGCATGCCTGATGGCGGGCACCTGAAGTGGGTACACCTGCGCTAAGAGACTGATTTATAAGGGTGGTGCAGCAGAGTGCGGTGTGTGGTAGTGCGGTGTTAAGGGTGGAGGAGTGGAGTGTACGGAGGAGTGTTGGGGCGACTACAAACCACGGCGAAGAGCATGTGGCTGCTAGAACCGTTCATAAACCTGCTTGGAATGGGTTGGTTGCTTTACACCTTCCCTTTTGTTGGAGTCCAGCTGGGAGAGGTCGGCCCAGTTCCCACACCCGGTTCCTCACACGGGGCACCAATTGTCTGGTTGTGACATGCGGTGGTAGCATGAAACAGGTTTACTAGAGGGACCACACCCCGAAGGGGCAGCCCAGCTCCAAGGGCAGTCTCGTTTTTATTTAGCATCAGACAGAAAATAAAAAAGACCAAAGCAGCAGCAGGCACACGGGGAACGCACACGTGTGGGGGGGACGCGTCACCAGCCGGCCCAGCCAAGGTGGGGAGTTAGGGAGAAACAAGGAACGTCTCAGTGTTTATGCTGCTCTCACCATCACACCTGTTGCTGTTTCTGCACACGCTGTTTCCAGCACATGTGACGCTCACACCAGGGCTTTTGCCCTGAGAGTTTCCTTATCTCAAACTTTCCCTGTTTCTGCCCACTGAGAGGTACAGAATCTTCAAAGCAAAGAATAATTAAGGCAAAGAGAGAATAGCTGAGGCTCACGATCATCCAAGCTCCCACAAATGTGGACCTCGCGGACTCGGGGGCTCAGATCACCCAGCGCGCGTGGGAGGCGGCGGGCAGGGCCGAGCGCGTCAGGCACAGTGTGCAGAGCAGGTGCTTCCCGCGGCTCCGCAGACTCCTGGAGACGGGGAAGGAGGTGCTGCAGCGCGCAGGTAAGAGGGGCCACGAGGCCTCGGACCTCCCCTCTCCTGGCCCCCACAGGGAAATGGAATCATGGGCAGAACAACAGCTGCTTTCTGGGCAGAGGGAGAGTCCCCCTGGGTGTCATGTTCTGTGCTAGAGAGAGACTCGCCCAGAAGACACCACTTTTCTGGACAGTTAAGGAATCCAGTCTCTCCTGAGGGAGGGGAGGCCATCCTGAAATAATTCTTCCCTGATCTTTTTGACCCAGCAGCCATCCTGGGAACCATAAGATTCTCTTTTAAGGTCTTGTTTTTGGTCTGAGAACATTTCTGGATCTGACTCCTGCCTTTCTGTGTCATTCACCCTCCAGCCAGGTCAGGAGCAAAAGTCTGTGTTCTTGGAGACCTGCATCCTCCTACCCTGGGCTCTCACCTGATTATCCCAGACGAGGCTGGTTTCTGGATTTTGTGCTTCCTTCCTCCAAACCAATTGTCATGTCCATTCTGAGGATGGTCAGTGAGGCTGCTTCAGTGTCCAGAAAGGAAAAACCCAAAGTGTAAATTTTTGACCCTTCTCAGATCCCCCAAAGACACACATGCCCCTCCACCCCTCCTCTGACCATGATGTCACCCTGAAGAGCTGGGCCCTGGGCTTCTACCCTGCGGACATCACCCTGACCTGGCAGAGAGATGGGGAGGACCTGACCCAGGACACAGAGCTGGTGGAGACCAGGCATGGTGGGGGGAGGACAGAACCTTCCAGAGGTGGGTGGCTGAGCTGGTGTCTTCTGGAGAGGATCAGAGATACACGTGCCATGGGCAGCATGAGGGGCTACTGGAGCCCTAAGTCCTGAGATGGGGTGAGGAGAATCATGTGGGCACTGAGATTTTGCTCAGAGAAATCAGGGGCCCTTCTGGACTCTTTCAGATGAAACCTGGGGCTCAGGGTCTCCCCTTCCCTTCCTTTCCAGTGCCCCCTCCTCAGTCCTCCATCTCCACCGCGGGCATCACTGCTGGCCTGGCTCTCCTTGGAGCTGTGCTCACTGGAGCTGCGGTGGCTGCAGCCGTGATGTGGAGGAAGAAACGCTCGGGTAGGGAAGGGAATGGGGGATCTTGTCTCCTGGGGGCTTTCAAGTCTCTGGTGTCCTAGGGGGCTTTCAAGGCAATACTGGTTGCCTTTACTGGTTAATGGGAAGAACCATCCACACATGTGTGGTGCTCAAGGGTATTTGGTCCAGTCCCCCTCACCTCCTTTCTTCATTTTCCAAGTCCTGACCTGGGTCTTTAGTCACAATTCTGGAAACTTCCCTGTTCTGCAGGATTTGAAGATTCCTTTAGGCTTCTGAACTGACTGCTCCCTGGTCTCACATGATGTTTCTTCTCACAAGTGGACAAGGAAGAAGCTACACTCAGGCTCCAGGTGAGTATGGATAGGAGTTTGATCCCTGAGCCCCCAGGGACAGTGTAGATGGAGCCCATGGGGAAGTTACACTCATCAGTTCCTCCTGTGGTCTCATCTCTGACCAAGTTTTGTGTGTTCTCCCCTGGGCAGCGGCAGTACACAGGGCTCTGAAGTGTATGCCAGCCCCTAAAGGTAAGACCCTGGAGGACTGCAGTGGGGGTTGAGGCAGAGAGGCTGGCACTAGGTGATGGGGATGCTTTCAGGAGGACATCTTGAGAATGCAGTGGACCATTGATAATGTTAACGCTCAGGTATATTCACCTGAATTTCTTCATTATTTTCTTTCACAGTGAGAGACAGCCTTGTGTTGGCCTGAGTGTTACAGGATTTCTTTTGCCCACAGTTTGTGCCTTTATGATCCCCTGGTTTAAAACGCTTTACACCTGAGAGAACGGCCCATATCCAAAAGACTAGAAACTCAAGTGCTGGCAAGGATATGGAAAAAAGGGGACAGTCCTGCATTATTTTTGGATATAGACTGAGCCAGCCCTTATGGAAACAGCACTGAGGTTTCTTAAAAGAGTGAATGTGGACCCAGCAATTGGACCCGGCAATTCTACACTGAGGATCTACTTACAGAGGATAAATACACTCCTGTGAAGGGACCTGCACTCCCGTCACCACTGCATCACTATTTACAGTAGCCAAGCTATGGACACCACCTGAATGCCCCAGACAGGTGGGAAATCAAGAAGAAGCTGGGATTACATGTATACATGTATGTACATATATAGGTGATGTATGACCCTGTATAATGAAATAGCATCCACGGTCAGAAAACATAACTCATGCCACTGCGGCAACATGGATGGAAGAGGGGTGCATCAAAAAGATAAAGAGAAATCCTCATGTATGGATGGGGAGAAAGCAAACGAAGGGCCAGATTAAGCCAAACTTCAAAACTAAACCTTGAGCCCCACCAGGCTTCGCCTATTGCTGACCAGGGCTGCAGACCAGCCCAGGCTTCCTGGACCAACAGCGCTGGGTGGTGGACAGACCCTCTCTAGTTTGGCATCAGACTCATTTGACGACAAAGCCTGACTGCTGCTGACTGAGTCCCCCATTTTGTCTTGTTGCACCTGCACCACCAATGGGTCCCCAGCCTCTGCTGTTTGCTGGGTCTGAGATGGATCTTGTACTTGATGCTGCAGGTTATGACTTTTTTACGCCACTTATATATCCCCCACATGGCCAGAAGGTAACATCTTCCAACAAATTGTTATTCTCCTGATATAACAAATCTTGGTGACTTTAACCTTTTTCTTTTTGCAACAATGAGTTATTATTTATCTATAATTCCCTAATGAAACATTCACAATTTTTTTAAAGGTTTTTTTTTTTTTTTAAATTTTTGGGTAGAAGTACTGGGGTGAAGGCCAGAGGTACGGGCGGTGGGGGGTGGGCGCGGAAGGAGGTGGTGAGAGAATTCACCAGAGACAGAGTGGGGAGCAGAATAGGCGGATATACTGAAATGCATTGCTAATGGGAGTAGTGGGTAAGATGAGGAGGTCTGCTGTGTCGTGTGGGTCAGCTCCCTGCGCCAGGATCCACTCAGGCTGTTGCATTGGGCCTTCTCAGTGGTAGTGCTGAAGCTTAACCCCTAGGCCACCAGACAGGCCTAACACCCACAATTTTTAAAGAATCAAACTTGCAAGAAATTGTTTACTGTTATGTCATTACCATGGATTAAGTATTCCCACCATCTCACTGTTCTTGCTAAAGCTGAGAGGATACAGCAAATTATATGACAACATAGGAGAATTCCCAAATGGCTAGATTCAACTCATTATTAGTGTATGGTCCACAAGCTGGCTTATTTAGTGCGACATCTTGGTCAATATCTGGACAATTTCTATTCATGATGATGACTTTTGTATCGTCAAATCTTTTTTAAAAAATATTTATTTATGCATGCAAGAGTTGGGGTACAGGCCCGAGATGCGGGGGGTGAGAGGATTCACCAGAGATACAGCGGGGAACAGAACAGGCAGACTGACTGAAATCCACTGCTGAGGGGAGCAGCAGGCAAGACAGGAGAGGTCTGCCTCACCATGTGGGTTTCTCCCTGGCTGGCCGGGGTTCGAACTAGTGCTGCAGAGGCTGCGGATAGCTTCATAGTGCGATGCTTAACCCGTTGTGCCACCAGGGAGGCCCTGTATCTTCAAATCTTAAGGCCATTTATTAATGGCTCAGCTCAACATACACACCTTCACCTCTTCTTTGACTGTAACTCTGGGCAATATTTTACATTGCGGAATTGGATTGGAGGCTCATTTAAAAATTCTTACTCCTTTCAAGGGAAAGGCCCACAGATATGTGAAGAAGGAGTCAGAAGAAAAGCACAGCAGCCAGCAGGGAATGGTCAAAATGAAAAGTTATTCCATGGAGAGGCTACAGAGGTTGAACAGATTATTTCCCAATTATAATTTTTTAAAAGATTTATTTATTTATTTATACAAGCACTGCATATAGTCAGAAGTGTGAGAGGGTGAGAGAATTCACCAGAGCCAGAGCGGGGGCAGAGCAGGCAGAAGGACCGAAGTACACTGCTGAGGGGAGCAGCGGGCGGCAGGAGAGGTCTGCGCCATATGGGACCCTCCTCCGGTGGCCGGGGAGCAGCCGGGGATGGATCGAACCGGCGCTGCAGAGGCTGCAGGCACCTTCCCAACCCTGCGCTCAATCACTGCACCACTGGGGAGGCCCTATTAAATATTTTTAATGAGGGAAAATAATCTACATCCAGCTGGGAGATTTGGTAGCATTTGAAACCCTACATTGAGGGCCCTGCTGAGAGATGGTCATGCTGACAGACCAAGAGAAACCAACCTCCTGCATAAACACTAAGGGGTGACTGTGTCTTTCCAGCCAGTGAATCTGTAACTCATATTGTCTCAACACTAATTTTTAAAAAGGTGGAGAGAAAGTAAATGATTGAGGGGACCAGGTTATGTCCTTTTCTGTTAACCCACCACGTTCATTAAGAAAATCTCATTGTGTTTAATAACACCAAGGCTCAGCGCCATAACAAGGAAACACAAACACATGATTCAGGTGGTGCCTGGTGTCAGGAGTGAGCTCCGTCTTCCCTGCTGGCCTGGCAGTGACCACTTGTCATACTTTGCTCACGGGGAAGCCTCAGCATGACAGCAGGTCTGATAGAATCCAGTAGTGACTGTGCAAGTGACCCACTTCCTAGCAGGTGTGATGACACTGTCATCTCCCTACACACAGGAAGCTTCTTCTCTGATCATTGTCAAATGTTACATGTTACTGATCAATAAATAAACTGGAATTTAAAAAAACATCCATACTACCATGATTCAGTCCAGATGTGGGATTATTTAGCTAAAGATTTTGATGGTTTTATTTAAAACCTTTATGTAATAAGCATAAAATTATGTGAATCTAAATGTATTTTCAAAGGGAAACTTGATGGCCACGTAGTGTATTTGGCTGCTGGATTTTTCACTAAACTGATACACTGGGCTTTTGCTATGTTTCAAGGTGAAAAACCTACACTTTTCTATAAAAGGAAATAATTGCCAAATATTTGGGCTTGTCACTGAAGATTGGTTTGGAATTCATCATCTTTTCTCTGAGTAAGATGTGGGATTAACAGACCTTTCTGGACAGAGAGTGACACGGTGCAACTTCTCTTCAGAAGCCTCCGTCTGGCTGCTGTGCAGAATCAAGAGGGGAAGGTGAGAGGTGGGAAGAGAAATGTAGGAAACTAGCACAGATTCTAGGATGGAAAATTTGGTAGCTTTATGGGGTGTGATCAGGAAAATAACAGGAAGTCGTTATATCTGGATATATTTAGAGGTGGACTTTACAGCATTTCCTAATGTAACATCTGGGTTGTAAGAAAGGGGTGGGGATGCCACCCAGCATTTCAGACAGTGAAGCATGTGAAGGAGAGATGCGGAGGGCCTGCTACTATCCCTAGATGGATTTCTCACTCATTTGATACAAATTTATGATGCAATTTTTTCAAATAAAATTTACTAAAGGCATTAATAGATATGTGTGAATGTGTGTATGTTTGTATATAATAGTACAGTGTGTGACACTGACTCCAGACCCCTGGGCCTTACCCAGCTCTGTCCTGCCCCCTGAGTGGTGGGACATGCGGGCTTTGTTGGTGGGGCTGCCCCAGTGGGCATAGCCAGAGGCCAGTGGGAGCAGGAGGCTGAAAGGTCTGGCAGCAGCAGTGGGGGTTTCCTGCCCTGGCACCCTGTGTGTGCGGGTGGGAGCTGGTGGGCACAGCTCTAGAGGTGGTGGCAGAGGGGGTTTCCTGCCGGTGGCAGGCAGCCTTCAGACGGCCCCTCCCCCAGAGCAAGCCAGGGTTAAGCACAGGATCCCCTAGGGCTTAGGCTCCCCCTCCCCTGCCCCCGGAAGAGCTGTTTCTGGGCAGCACCAAGGCCGCCCTGCAGTGGGTGCCACAGGACAGTTTCGCTGAGGCCATCTCATGGGCTAGGGATGATAGCTATGGGGGTCTCAGCTAGGTTTGAATGGACCCCACCCACCCTGGCAGGCTCCAGGAGGCCGCAGCTTGAGGACAGGGCCCACGCCGCCCTGACAGCTGTGTCCACTGCAACCAGCAGAGGGAATGGCAGAGGGCGACAGTAGGTGGGCACTTCACCACCAGCCCCCGTTAGTGTCAGGGACAAAGGCCGCAGCCAATCTGGCAGTAGAGGCTCTCTGTCCCACCCATACCACCCCAGGGCGTGCAGCCCACTGGGGCTACAGCAGCAAGTTCCCCTTTGAGACCTGTCATGCTGCTGTCTGTCTGGCACCACCTCCCACTGCTATTGCCTCCTTCTAGTCCAGCCTGGCATTCAGACTGTGGCTGTGCCTGTTGGGGTGTCACCTCAGAGGGGAGCACCCCCTATGAGCACCTCCCGATGCCACTGTGAGTTGGATCCTGGCCTAGTCCTTGCGGCTGTGCTCCACCTCCAGGCCCTCCCTGACGGGACTGTACCACATTGCACGGCAGCCTTAATTTGGGACTATTGGACACTGCGGACATTATCTGGGGTGAACAGCTACCACTGAGCCCTTAGAAACTCTTTATTTCCCTGCTCTCCTGTTTGTTAATGAAACCTCATTGCTGTTCCCTGAGCCTGAGTGGTTGCAATTGAGCACATGGGTGAGAACCACAGACAGTGCCCTGTCCTCTACCTCAGCTCTGTCCTTTTGAGAGGGGGCCAGGGAGGAAGGGCCCATACCTAGTACAGGAACCTGCAAACACACAGGCTGCACGCACACGCTACATGACTCATGATCTGTTTTCTTTGAACTAAAGCTCTTGTTTTAAACTGAGATCCTGCCCTGCTGATGACCCAAAGATTGCCAGACACTGACACCCTCTGATGTACCAGGGGCAGGATACCCAGGAGGTTGACGGCAAGTTCTGGGGCTGAACAGGACGGACACCAAGAGTATCAGCTGTGATGGGCTGTTCTGGTGGGTTGTTTGCTCAGAACATAAAGGTTTGTCAGTGCAGAGAGCACCCGGAGACGCACAGGAGAGAGACGTGTGGAGAAGGCCCCTTGCTTCTTGGCTTTGGACTTGAACCAAGAACTTAAGAGACGTGGAAGGAAACACCTGGAAGAGACACCGTGATGGCCTGAGATGGATCCCCTGCCAGGGAGCTGCCCACATGGTGCAGCAGACCTCTCCCTACTTGCCCGCTGCTCCCCTCAGCAGTGTATTTCAGTAGATCTGCCTGTTCTGTTTCCCACTCTGTCTCTGGTGAATCCTCTCACCAGCTTCCCCACCACCTCTGACCTATACCCCAGCTCTTCTATGCGTAAATAAATCGTTAAAAAAAAAAGTTTGCATAAATCCAGTAAAGTTCTTTTTCCCCTTCTCTTTAATAGACAATTGGAAATATGGATATTTTACCAAGGCTTTGTCTGGAATGTTGTGTTTCCAGAAACCAGACTGATCTCAGAGGCTGCAAGACAACAATAAACTGGCACCTATTTAACGGGTACAAGGGTCTGTCATGAGGGTAAAGAAGGCAACCCCTTGGCAGGTCCAGAAACCCCAAATGTCATGGGAGCCTCAAGAGGAATTTTCCCAATGATACAGGTACTGCAGGCCAATTCTGGTGGTGAGAACTTGGTGTGGTCCTGAGCCCTGACTCCTGGCTGTTAGGAGCTCTCAGTCTGAGGGTTCCTGTATGAAGGTCTGACAAAGCAAGATTAAAAAGTCTGCATAATAATTTCTGTTCCTGATGAATTCATGCAAACTGACTGTGGCAGTGTAGTGTCTGGGTGAGGCCGGGGGCTGATAACCAGTACTGGAGGCTGAACGTAATGGATACCAGGAGCACCAGCTGTGACGGGCTGTTCTGATGGCTGTTTGCTGTGACTGTCTGTGTGTGACTGATTATAACGAGGCCAGCTGGAGATGAGATGGGGAAACAGGCCCTTCAGGGTGCGATACCCCCCATTTTCTCACATCAATGGTCTGTAATCTGAGAAGTGAAAGTGTTACAAGGCAGCCCTGAAATAAAACGGGTTGCCTGACTGTGGGTCCTCACCCGGGAGCTTAAAAGGGACTTATTAATACTCCACTGCAGGCACACAAAAGGTTAATAAAGGGTTTATTTACAAGGGAAGGGGAAATGAGGAAATGTACAACTCGGGAGAAAAGAGGGAGATAAAGTCTTAAATGCGTCCTACTCATCTCCACTGACCTGGAATCCCAATGGCACACTGAGAGCTGGCGGTGAGCCAAGAGCCATGAAGACAAGGGACTCCACCACCACCCCCCTCCGCCCCGCCAAGGCCCACGTGTCTGGTTTTATACCAAACCTGGCTGCTTAACTCCACCCTCAGATCCCAGCAACCCTCCCTTGGGTGAAGATGGGATTTGTAGTTCCCAGTGTCTTCATGGCTTTGACTGGAGTGGGGGTGGAGTCCACAAAGCCTGTATGGAATTAGCTCAGGACATCCTTTCCCCCTAGCAATTTCCCCCATTCACTTTTTGCCACCATTTCCATGGTGATGAAGATCAAATGTATGGATGCTGGGATACAGTCTCAGATGAAAATTTTTCAGGGTTCCAGTGTGAAAGAAAACCAGTCTTTTCAGGTATAGTCCATTGTGGAAAGCAAAAGTCCTCCAGTCCTGGAAAAAGAGTTCATCAGTGCAAGCCAAAACAAAAAACAAAAACAAACAAAATCTGGAGGCATTAGCCAAAACAAGACAGCAAATATGTCAAAATCACAAGAAAAAATCTTAAAATTGGTTCAACTTATGTAAAAACCATGTTCTCTCAACCTTGAGCCCAAATTCTTTTAATGGCATAGCAAAAGTTTGCAAACTAAATCTACTTGTAAGCCATATTACCTATTTTTGCATAAAATCATAGGGCAAAATAACTAAACAGCAATTTTAGCTGGCTTTTGGAATACTCCATATAGGATCAGAGTGAACTCTTGACATTTGGTCCATGTAGGCTTCAGGAACAAAGTTGGTCTCATCAGACTCCACCTGGGCTTTCCTCTTCTTGAGGGTACCAGGACTTTTTCATTTG